GGGAGATACGGCTCAGGGGTCAGATCAGATGGTCTTTAAGACCGTAGATTCCCAGGATACAGTAGCTGAAGTTCACAATGATCAGCAAAATAGAACTTCACGGCACGATTCCAACCCTGAACACCTTGGCTCCAGCAAAGATACCAATCAAATGAGTACGGGGAAGAATCAGGCAGGAGGAAACGTGGGGCCACAGGACGGCGAAGACCGTGCCATGGCTGCAAAGACTTCTTCGGCAAGCGGAACGGCGTCCACCTGGGTTGCAGTTGGGGGGGGGGGAATATCATTTTTACTGGCAACTCTGAGTCTGTATGGTATTCTAAGAGTGTATAGGAGGGGGAAAGGTGCGGGAGAGGCGTTTGAGATATCGGGGCCGGGAGGTAGAGGAGTGTCCTATGGTTTAGTGGGGGAATAGTTCAAAGGGGGAACAGTCCTTGGTGTATGGAGCCAAGATTCCCAACCCCCGAGAAGCGGGGAGGATTCAGGAGGATTTTCCTGGCAAGTATAGTGTCTGGGATAGGTGGATCCACTGATCGGCGTATGCTAGGGAATGCAGTGGGGCAATTTGTTAGCGGGGAACCCGAGGGGGGAATATCTGACAATGAGGGGGGTGGTTTGGTTTCTTGTCTGGGTTTAACTTTAAGATCCGGCCATAGGGGGGGAGGTTTAGGTTTTTGGGTTGAGTGCTAATGGTCCAGTATTCACGTTTAGGGTTGAGCGGGGGGGCTTTCGGGGATTATGGCTTAGGGGGTAGGTTTAGGGTTCAGTGGTCAGGATTTAGTTTTTAAGGTTCCGTTCCTACGTCTAGTGGGTCATCGTTTAGATTTGAGATTGATGATTGAGGTTCTAGCCTTTATCGTCGAGGGCTTGGCTTTTAGCGGTTCACTATTTGTAGTTTATGGTTTATGATTTGGGTTCAGCGTGAAGGGTACGCTTCAGGTTTGGGAAGTCACGGTCTAGAGTCCAACATATGGTGTTCTTGGATTAGAGTTTAGAATCCGGGCTTAGTGGTTATAGTGCCCAGGAGGGAGTGTTTAGATCTAGGCTTCAGGATCTAGACCTCAAGATTTACCGCTTGGGATTCATTCCTGAGGCGATATCGTTTAAGGTTTAGGATTATGCTTTCTGATGTAGGGCTTAAGGGTCCAGGGCTCATTCTTTAGGCGTTTAGGGCTAGCTCTAGGGAGTTGTGGTTAGAAGCTAGCCTTCTGGGGTCACGTGGCAACTTCTATCCTCCACGGGTGGGATTCAGGGGTTCCTGGCTATGGAGTCATCAGGTAAGGTTGAAAATTTCCGGCTCATGTCCTGGTTTCAAAGTTTAGGTCTCAAAGTTCAGGGGGGGGGGTTAGGGGGTCTGTTTAAGACTTAGGCCATAGGGATCAGGGTTTAGGTCCTCCTCCGCGATGTCTGATCGCTTCTGGCTTAAGGATACGCTGTTAGACTTAGGATTCAACTCTTACCCTCCAGTGTTAGGGGTCAGGGGTCCCGGTCTACGGTTTATGGTTGATGTGTCCGGATTTTCGGTTGGAGAGTTAGGGTTTAGGGTTTAGAGTTCATGGTTTACATCTGGGGTTTTAAGGGTTCAGCTTCATTGTTTATGCTTTAGGCCTGTGGATTTAGAGGTTGGGATTATCGGTGAGTCCCTAGGGGTTATGGTTCATGGCTTAGGGGCTCAAGATGCGCGTTCACGTGTTAGCTCTTATCCTTCAGTTGTGGGGGTTATGGCTCACTTCTTAGCTTCGATTTTCTATGGCTCACGTTTTAGGGTTCGCCTTCCGGGTGTTAAGGTCTAGTGTGTACTTCTTAGTGGCCCATACTATTGGATTAGTGTTTAAACGTTATCCTGTTGCAATTAATGTTCAGGAGTTGAGGGTTTTGGTTTAGGGTTTTAGGGTTTAGTCTGCTCGTTTGATTGTTAGTGTCTAGGTGTTAGGGGGTACTGTCCCTGGTCTATCGTTTAAGGGTTCACGGTCCAGCTTCTACGGGTCAGGGACTTTTGTCTAGTCCTCAAAGGTCCGGATCTAGGACTTATGCTTAGGGATCAATTTTCAAGGGTTATTGTTCAGGTTTTTGGTAGTTAGTTATCAAGGTTCATGGTTTAGTCTCTAGATTCCTTCTTAGGGTTTATGCTCCATTGCGGTAGTTTTCAGCGTTTCTGTTGTTACGGTTTGAGTTCTAGGGGGTTAGTTTCTCCGTCCCTGGGTTCAGGGTTCAGGGTGTTCGGAATAGTTTTTCCTATGCAAGGTTTTTCTTTGTGCTTTGAGAGATTAGGTATCAATTTCTATGGTTTAGGCTTTAGGGTACAGGGTCAACGTTTCGTGGGGGGGTTGTTTGGGATGCAAACTTCAGGGATTTAGCTATTAGTCTCAGCGTCCACGCTTAGACTCCCTAGTGTTGTTGTTAAGATCAAGGTATTCGGGGGAATTGCTTATGATTCATCGTCAACGCTCCTGGTTGAGGATGTTAGAGGATATTCCCTATTTGTCTCATTTTACGGGCTTGCGGTTGATGAGGTAAGGTTGATAGATTACTGCCCATGGTCCACTGTCTATGGCCTATACAACAGGGAGCTGCACTTGGGGTTCAGTTGTCAGCCCTCATCCTTCTTATCCAGGCAACTGGCTTTGCATTCATGTTTTGGGATTTAGGTCTCCGGAGCTTATAGTCCAGGATTTACGGCTTAGGCTTTATCTGTTAAGATTCATTCTTTAGTGTTAAGGATTAGATTTGCGGTTTTCGAGGGCTTCCTCTATTTGTATCCTCTGTCGTCTAGGCCTTGGGAGCTCTGGCCTACGTGGCATGATTCAAGATTTATTCCTTAGAGGGTGGTGTATACGGTTTACTACTTAGGCCCTGGGAATCAGAGTTGAGTCGGAATTTTCCTTGTCACAGTCATCATATTCCTTCCTTTATTTCTACTGCCAGATTCTTAGTATTGTTTCTGCTCCTTCTTCAGTCTCTACACCTGTCCATGCGCGTTTATGATTCCGCCCCCAGCTGTTTGCCTCTAAACCTTCCTCTTCCTCCTTCACTTCCTCCCTCCCAGCGCCTCCAGAGTTAAAGGCCTAGGTCACACAGTAGGGGGAGTCATTAGGACATCATCAGTCTCCTTTGATTTGTGCATTGTATCTTGAGTCACTTTCTAGCAGGTATCCGATAGATCTGTTCAGCCGGTTTTAATTTCGATGTGCTAAGGAGGGCGGCTCGTGACTTATGCCCCCTGTATAGGACCCGGATATCGGTATTGTCGTCCTTCTGCTATTTTTCCGGAATTATCCTCTAATGCTCAGTGTGATTCTTTCCGTTACGCACTCCCATCAGGCACTTCTCCCCTTGGAATTGGTAGATTCCATTGGGGTATCTTTCAGGGGGTACTTTCTAAGGAGGACTTCTCGGCTTCGATTAGTCAGCTCTTACCCTTTAACGTGCTGCTCACCGTTGTCAATTGTTATTTTGTATCTTCTATTATTATAGGATGCTAAGCTGAGGTCGTGGTACACCGAGGTTATTGTACTCCTAATGTTGATTGTGCATCCCCTATACCAGAAGCATACTGGCATTCTATTATGCTCACTTCTGTTTTTAGTACCGCTTGGGTACTCCCCGTTCTGTTCGTTGACAGGTTGAGCTCCTCTTTTGGCACCCTATCATGCACCTGCCTGCTAGTCTGCTCTAAAGAGGGAGATTCGGTCCTATGACTCTCCGGTGTTATACTGACGATTCAGGTGTCCTTGTTCGCCTTCCCGCTTGACGGTAGCTTCCTGAACCTCTTGTCTGGAGTTGGATGTTATACCATATGACTTAATCTGTGGCATCCATCTGCTATGATTTAAATTTCGGTTCAAGGCAAGATCGGCCAGGGATGAGGGGATTAGATGCTTGATTTTAAGTTGGCATTGTTAGTCTATAGGGAGGGGGACTTAATTTTTGGTGGGGGAGGCGAGGGAGCGTTCATTTGCCCTGTTGTGGTCCCATAGTTTCTCAGTTGAGTCCTATGTGTTCGTCTGCCTCTGCTGGCTGTTGGCGCCGGGGGTTTGTCCTACTGCTTGCTTCCGTTGGAGTTTGTTGTACTCTTCAGTTTCTGATCCTGAGGATGGTTCCGTTTCCTTCAGCTACGTAGATTCCCTTTGAATTATGCCTGTTCTGTCTCTCAGTCGGTTATCTCCATGTTTTAGAATTGGATGATTCTCCCTTTTCCATTACGACTCAATTGGTTAGGGGGGTTCTTCTAGGGGGGACGCCTAACGGGGACACTTAGTTCCTATGGTCATGCTTCAAGACTATTCCGTTAAGTTGACAGTTTTCAACTATAATTTGATGCCTCATGTCCTCTCCTGTATCGTGGTGGGTTCTTCTTTCTTTACTCCTTGTTAATTTGTTAAGGATTGTCGATTAGGTTATACTTCTTAGCCAAGAAGGTTCAAGTTTTTGACTTCGCATTCATCCTTTGGTTTCTGAGCTTCGCTACTATTTTCTTAATCCTGGGGCTATTATGTTTAGGGGGGTTCGGGATCTGCTTATTCCTCACTGATGATTAATTAATTCCTATGTTGCAGCTATTCCTGCGCAGATGGAATCCTCATCTGTACAGACTGAGAATTTATACTGCATAATGAGGTTGCCATTCTCCGCCCCCTCCCTTTATTATGTTGTTTTTATTTTGTACTGCCTAAGCTCCCTTCTCGGCAGGCTCCTGAAGGTTATATGCCTCGCCCATTATTCCCTAGGCTGCTTGCCCGTCTGCTATGTTGTTTCTCCGGTTTGTGGTCGGTAACTTTGAGGCTTGCAACTTTATCGAGTTGTCTTACAGATTACATGTTCTCTCATACTTCTTACCTGTACTCCTTGGTTTTTAGGCTCTAATTGTAGGCAGTCCGTCTGCAAGGTGTAAGCACCTCCCTCATCGGGGGGTTAGTCAGGGGATTGCGCGCTCCGTTTATGTTGGCTTCGGGACGGGTCAAGTTCTACTGCTCATTTTGTACCTTCTAATATTCAGGATTATTGCTCTCCCTCTTATGCCATTGGGGGGACGTTTCTGGGTATTTCTTAGGCTTTATCCTTTATTTCTACTCTTCCTCTGTGCTTTCTTGTAAGGGGGGGCTCTCTCTACTCTTCAGTTTTCCTTATTTTGTCGCGTTAACTTATTTTAGTCCGGTAAGATTCATTGATTATAAGGCCCTTTTATTGTGATCATGTCCATGTGTCTAGTATTTAGCCTTCGGATTCCTGGCTGGCTTCCTTGGGGTTCAGACGGCTTATTCCATGGTTCACTCCTCACTGTCCGTCTTTGAGATTTCTTGCTTAGGAGGTACTTGCACTTTCCACTGTTGATTTGGACGGTTAATTTCTCACATAGATTTTCTTACTTTTGCTTTTCCCTTTCTTTTTTTGTTCCTCCTATAGTTAAGTTGTCGTGCTGTATTCGGATGGTGTACGGCTCAGATATTATTGTTTTGGATTCAGTCTTTTCCTTTAGGATTTTTTGGATACCCTTAGTTTTCATTTGTGCTGCATGAAGTCTACGGTTTTCCTTGCAAGCATGAGATTTACTGTCTATACTCGCCTTGTGGTGTGCACTGTTCACGGATATTTGGTATCCTTCCTGTTTCAATGTTTTCTGTTTTATTTGGTTTCATTACTATTCAGGGGTCATCCCGGTATTTCCTTGCTTTAGGCATCTGTCCATTTCTGACAGCTATTAAGTTGGGGCGCCATCCTCTACTGCCTTGTTCTTAGCCCCTAGGGTTCTCATATGTTTTGTATTAATTGTCTCTTTACGTTGAGTTCTTGTGCTGTATGATTTATCGTTCAAGCTTTACGTTTAAAGAGTTATTCTTCCTGTTTCCGGTGTCGTCATCAGCCTTGAAATTCTATTCTTTACGGTTAACCACTTAATGGTGTCCACTGGGGAGTTACAGTTTGAACTTTAAGCAGCCCCTTACAATCATCATTGCCGAGTTCACGTGCCCATGTGGTGCTCTTTCCCTCGGATTTACTTCATTATCTCCCTGTTCCTCTGTTAATCGTGTGCCCTTTTGCTTCTCTTAAGGCGCCGTTCTTTACTCTCTCTCTATGTTTTTCTGCTAGTTGTCCGGGAGGATAGAATGAGAGATATACTCTTAGATTTTCTATCACTCCTTCCATATTCCATATATCTTAACCTTGTTAATATAAAGATACGGAACAGTCAATGTTCAAATTCTGTACGTCCTCCTTATTGAGATATATACAGAGGGACAACATTCTTACTGATCTAGTGCTATGTACTTGACTGTCTTTTTCTCATCCCTCTTCCATAGGATATATTTGTAAAATCGGGGAGTTCCACAGGCAGCGATGACGCGCCTGACTACAGAGCACATATTCATCTATGTTAATCTTAATCTATACTTCCGTAAGATCTGTTGCCAATTAGTCGTCTCTCATATTCAAATGTGTATCCTCCTGTTCGTGTATGTCACTAGTAAATTTCTATTAATGATATGGTTACTATCTGTTCGGTACATAACCCGTCTGCTGCTTCACGATTCTTTGAATGTTGTTATTGAAATCTGGCAACACATGTTGAATGACTTGTATTTATCACTTGATTTCCTGCTCCTACAAGGAATTCCTACAATGGACTTTCGAGTACAGGCGAATATATGAGAGTATTCCACAACTTTTCGATCCACTCTTAGAGGAGATATGTTGTCGGTTAGGATTTCGACTTGTTTGTTGGAATGTTTGTGTGCTCATAGAAAATATATGTATATGTGACGTCCATTGAATTAATCTCTGTATTTAATTGTTGATTATAGAAGTCGCAGGGAGAGATATCATGCTTATTACTGTTGTCCATATACAACTGTCATATATTCATACTATGACTGTTCGTATTTTATGTCTTATCATGCAAAACAGAGTTTATCACTCTGATATCACCGCTTTGAAATACAGACAGAAGAAGGCGGATAAATAGTATAGATCCTGTTACTGTTTCTCTACAGACAGAGCTATGAAGCCTTGTCAGAATTGCAGAAGATTAATACTGCGGTGCTAATTTATCTGTTTCTTCATGTACACAGATTTAAATAGCCCTCATTTGTTGGTGGCATTCCCATAGTTCAGACGAAATTGAGAGATTTTTTACTTATACATACAATATATGCCGATTATAAGGTTATCGCGGTGAATCCATCGCTTATATGGGAATTGTTAGATTACCGTTCTGTATTAATGTTGTGTGCAGTCTGAATAAACATACTTTTTCTATAAAATTATATTTATGACTATTATATATTATACTGTATACTCGTATTTTGGAGACATTACTCGGCTGATTCTTTAGGTGTTAAATCACAAATCTATCAGTAACTTATTGCTACTACTTGGAAGAAGGAAGCAGATAATTATTCGCAATCTGGCTGTTAGCATGTTTATTATTAACTTCCAAGAAAATATTTCCCAAATCTTTCATAAGAATATTTTAAATGTTCCTTATTGGTTGTCAATTTCTGATATTCAATTTGTATATCTATTTGTATGCGGATTGAGAGAGTCTTTTATGAAAATTAGAAAGAAATTTAGAAGAAGCATGAAGCCACCCCTAAGGGAAGAAAGGGTTGCTTCCTGTGTTCAGATAAGAATATAACAGACCCTCAGTGGGTTGAAAGAATCTCTTGGGGTACGTTTTTTTTTCTAAAACGAATTCCACACTATAATGATAGTATAGGAGGAGGCGGAGCCCCATTATCGATAATCTCTCCAGTACTTGTTAATTATGTTGTGTATTAACTATCATCCATAGCATTACATAAAGGCAACTGTCGTTTAAGTATGAAGAATAGTGGCATCCGGCTTAAATGTGATTATTGGGAATTAGCAAGCATATCATAGTCCTTTATTGATATATTTTATTTTAGCGCGCTAAAGTAATTATTAAGGCAAGTATCTATATTTATTTAGGAGACATTTTTATGAATCAGTTCATTCATGCAGGGTGGTACTGACATCTTATGATGCATAAGAAGAGTTTTCATTCTTTCCACTAAATATCTTCCAGAGAAATATGAGGCTTCTTATCTAAACTCAGAACTGACAAAGTTAATATGCAGACTGTACGGAGTCCCTAATGTTCCTTAATGTGAGGAAGGATGCTTAAATTAGGGGGAATGCCGTTGGCATATGTATACGGTAAAGTGCGGAATTCTGGTAGTGACTCAAGGATAGGTTTTACTCTAAGAGGTGGGTAATATGAGAGAGGATATTCATAATGTCCTATTATAATACAAGACATAAACACTGTATAAATATACATTTGATTTAGAGAAGGAATACCATAAGTATTAATGGACAGCATTATGGACGTCTCCGTCTGT